AGAGTTGGCAGAGATGCTAATATTTGGCAGGGAACCATAGGGAGAAATGGACTAGGGAAGTGTAATCTCAACGGTCTACTCCTCCTCGGCAAGTGTGCTGCACACAACCTCACTATCACTAATACCCTGTTTAGGCAGGCTGACAAGTTCAAGGATTCGTGGCAACATCTACGATCTAGACACTGACATCTCATTGACTTCATCATTGTCAGAGAAAGAGATCGCCGAGCTGTCCTCATCACCAGTGCCATGCGTGGCTCGGGCGACTGCGACACTGATCATCGGTTCGTCAGAGACAAGCTCTCACTTCACGTTGCCCCAAAACGGCGAAGGCAGCAAGCCTCCAGAAGAGGTTTTAACACAAAACGTCTGGAGGATCCATCGGTAGCACATGCTTTCAGAGAGCAGCTCAAACATGGGCTGATAAACAAGCCAACAGCAAACAACGCAAATCCCAGTGCTGAACGGGATATTCTCGACACTGTCATGACAAAACCTGCACAGAGACCCTCGACCACATCGAAAGAATACACCAGGACTGGTTTGATGAAAATGACCCGGCAATCTATGTACTCACCAATGATAAACGTGCTGCTTTAACTGACTGCCAGGACAACCCTCAGGCTTGTACCAAATCTGATACCTTCCTCAGCGGAAACTTCGTAATCTAAAGAACGACAGGTTTAAAAATAAAGCCAGTGAAACAAAAAAGTTTGCAGATCAGCACAAGATGCGCAAATTTTTCAAATCCACTAAAACATTTTATGGGCCGATCACAATGGCGCAGCCCCATCCTACTCACCCGATGGTAACTCCATAATTAAAGACGATGGAGGCATCCTTCAGCGCTGGAAAGAGCACTACCATTCACTGCTTAACCGAAACACCGATGAGGATGTTCTAACTATCCAGCAGGTCCCTCAGCATCCAGAGCTGACCCACCTCAGCTATCCTCCATCCTGGATGAGGTAGCTACTGCCATCAAACAGATGAAAAATAACAAAGCCTCAGGGCCTGATGGAATCCAGGCCGAGGTGTATAAAGCAAGTGGACCTCTGCTTACTAGCTGTCTCCACTCTCTCCTGGAGAATACATGGAAAAAGGAGTAAATCCCCAAGCTCTTAAAGATGCCTCCGTCGTCAATATTTATAAGAACAATGGACACCAATCAGACTGTGGCAACTACCACGGGATCTCGCTGCTCTCCGTAGCTGACAAGATTATCGCCCGAATCCTCCTAAATAGACTCCTTCCTGAGGCGGAAAACTTCCTCTCAGAATCTCAATGTGGTTTTAGATCATCACGTGGCACCACTGACGTGATCTTTGCTGCCCGCCAGATACAGGAAAAGTGCAGAGAATAGTGTCTTGACCTGTACATGGCCTTCATCGACCTTAACAAAGCCTTCGACTCGGTCAACAAGGAAGACCTCTGGCGGACCCTCAGCCGATTCGGTTGCCCATCAAACTTCATTGCCATTGTGAGGCAACTCCACGATGGCATGAACGGCAGTATCCTGCACAAGGGCACCCAGTCTGAGTTCTTCTCCATCCAAACAGGGGTTAAACAAGGGTGTGTACTGACACAAACTCTCTTTTCCATTTTCTTGGCTGCCTTCCTTACTCGTGTATTAGCCCCTGTCTTATAGGCAGAGGTATTTATATACATGGGTTAATTACATTAGACTTTGTTACGACCCCGGGAGTCGTTACCCCCTCTGTACAAGTCTTGAAGCAGAAACCACGAACAACCCTGGTTCACCCCTATTCGAAACATTCCTGTCGCCACTCCCAAATATTGGTGGGAAGCCGGCAGGATGGTGCGAACCAGTTGGCCACAAGCTACTCCCCTCCTCGGTTGGCTGCTCCTCTGGGACTTGACTGCGATCTTCGCTGTGGTGCCCCCTGTGTGTGTCCTCAGTGTTGGGACTCCATTCCCCTAGAGCAAAAGAAGGCTGAGTATTGATAGGGAGAATAGATTTTCTCAACCTATTCTACCGTGTGTATTGTTTCTCCCCATAAGCACGTTTCAGCCGGTTCCTCCCTCAAACACACAAGTGGAAACATAACAAGGTGGTATTGGTTGTGATGTTGGTTATTCTATTCGTAGTGATCTTGGTATACTGTAGGTATATATAGTGCTAATTTCATATTGTAACGTAAAATGTGATCTCTTTTCTTTTGTATTACTTTGTAAGTTTTAATCTTTATCAGTAATTTGTTTAATTTTGGTTCTCTTTTTATAGACCTTCTTGGTGACAGCCCAGAAATAGGATATTTCTTTTTTGACCTGATGGTCATAACATGCAGTGGCACTTGCAATACCTAGCAGTACTGAGACCGAATGTGAATTATTACGAGTCCCAAGTTTTCCCTTAGACTATCGGGCACATTTTTTCATTCCTCTATACTTGAGATCGTAACAGACTTGTATACTCTATCACCCTCTGTAACTTTCCACTAGTTATGAGGTAGCATGTTCAGAGCACGTGTTAAGGTGTACCCAAGGGAAGTCGCGTCACTTGGTGCTGAGTCTAACATTAAGTAACCGGTTCTCTGGCCACCTATTACGGGCAGTAGTTTAATATCACGCACTAGAGGAAGACGTTATTGAGAGCCATCGTGGATGGCTCCGTTTTCCCTCGAGGGAGGACGTCGGATATATTTCCATTTTTCCCTCGATTGGTTCCTACTCACCTCACTCAACTATCTTATCATCAACAGGACGTAATTAGCAGAGCTATATAACATAGCCTCCATCCTCATTTGACACTCATAGCTGCAGTGGTTAAGTTACGGTGTTAATCCCTTTTGAAAGTGTACATAAAACTCTTTAATAGTAAATACAAACAAAGGAACATATTGGATTTCACTACAGAAGATCCAATAAACTTTTATCTATATTTTAGTTCGTCTAGAATATAAGGTAACGTGCTTCACAAGTGATTGTTACAAGTGGTGACAACCCAGGAAGTTTCATATATGACAGCTTCACAAGTAGCTGTTATACTTATGGTAACAGTCACCTCAACAGATACACAGTTGGTAAAGGTAGAGATATTATATTCTCCCCATTACTGTGTTATACTGTTACATCTGTTACTAAGAGTTACAAATTCATTATACTCGTGCCGGCGCAAATTTAGCCAGCGGGGTGGACATCCGGTACCGGACGACCTCATCCTTGTCGCTCACACTGAACGCGACCTACAGGTGATCCTGAACACCTACGCATATGCGTATGCACATATCGGCCTTGAAGTGAATGTACGTAAAACTCAGATTCTCTTTCGTCCTGCCCCTGGTTCAGACACACCTCCACCATCCATCCGGCTTAATGGTACTATCTTCACTAATGTTACCCACTTTCGGTATCTCGACTCCCACCCATCCACCACCGCGGACATTGATGAAGAGATTCAGCATCGGATCACATGTGCATCCCAAGCCTTTGGCAGACTCCGAAACCGCGTCTTTAGCTGTAGGGAGCTGAAATAATCTACAAAGTTACACGTATATCGAGCAGTGGTCCTCCCCATCCTGCTATATGGCAGTGAGATATGGGTCACATTCAGGGTGGCACGTCAAGGCACTTGAAAACTTTCACCAACGTAGTCTACGTTCCATCCTCCGTGTTCGTTGGGAAGACGAGAGAACAAATGCCAGTATTCTTGCTGACACCAACTGTAGGAGCATCGAGGCTACCATTATCCATGAACAACTTCGCTGGACTGGCCATGTTACCCGCATGGACGACAGTAGACTGCCAAAGAAACTACTTTACAGTCACCTAACGAATAGTAAGCGCAACGCCGGCGGGCAACTGAAAAGATATATGGATAGTCTTAAAACAAACCTGAAAAAGTGCCAAATCGACCCCCCCACCTGGGAGACGATCACTCCACACCGTAACGCTTGGGGGATCACCACACGAGGTGGTGTTCATACCCTCGAGTTAACCCGACTGCAAACCGAGGCAGAAAGCGCCAGCACCGGATAGACGTTGCTGCTGCCCCTCCCGGATGACAGCAAAGTAGTAGTAGTAGTAGTGTGTGTGTGTGTGTGTGTGTGTGTGTGTGTGTGTGTGACAACAGCAATGAAAGAGGAAGTAAGGACTAAGGAATCGTTAGTCCTTTTACCCTATGAATTGTTTTGGGATGTGACTGTAAGAAATTATGACCGAGGTAATAAGGTCAAGGATTTGTTATGAAGAGAGGATACCTTGATAATTATTTGGAGAAGGTTGGGTATTTTGTGTGTGGTGTCATCACCTGAATCAATCGTAGTTATTCTGGTGAAGGTCATCTATTTTTCTTTTGTGACAGAATGCAAACAAATTTCAATAGTAAATGAATTAGTTAAGTCTTGATTAGTGTTTCACCCTCCCTTTCACTCTCAATTTGGTCAATGAAAAACCCAACCTAATGCCTGGCTTACTCTGCCAGCTACATAAACAAGTTACATACTGTCCAGGGGGTCTGGTGGCAGCGACCTTAAGTTAAGTAGTAAGTTAAGGATTAGTGACCCCATAATTGGGCAGTATAACCCATACATCAGTCCTTGCCATATAAAACCTATCAGCAGCATTTTTCCCAGATTGAAGTTAATGCCCCTTAAACATTAGAGGTAAATTAAACCTCATGTACAAAAACACATTTTATTGTCTTATAAGAAAATACTTATTTCTGCCGTTTTTTGAGTCAGTACAACTACCTCTACTAATGCTACTACGACGATGACGACGACGACCACTACTAAATCTAGTACTACTACTACTACGACGACAACGACGATGACTACGACTACTTCTACGAGGACGACGATGATGACTACTTCGACTACTACTACTACTGCTATTACGGCGACGACGACGACGACCGCTATTACTACTACTACTAGTACTACTTTTTTTTTAGAATAGCCCCCAGCCTCCCCCAATAGCCACACCTTCGCCACCATTTTATTACCTTAATATTAAATATCCTAATACATAAGGAGCTACCCTAGCTGCGTTGAGTTAGTTGAGCCGAAGATCTATGCGGCATTCAGTGACTGTTGCCTCATAGTCAATGTCTGCGACTGCCCCTACTGCAGCTACTACGACAACAACTGCTCCCCTTACACTTCATCATACGCATATATACTATACAATATCAGATCTTCAAAGCTTCGTACCCTAAATTTTCTTCTTGGCTTGAGATTTCAGAACGTATGTCGCGTAAGACGCAAAAAGAGGTTCTCATACTTTCTCACTTAACATTTCGTTCTGACTGAACATATGAGAACGTATCTGGCTCACTTAAGATACGAGTTTTGACCATACTGCTCCATTAAATCCTCCGAGCATATCAAAATATCCTTCATAATACCAAGTAAGGATCTATGTAATAACATCAGGGTTCGGATCACCTACTGTTTAGCACCCACAGCTTATTTTACCTGATGATTAAACATCCTAACACTACTTAGGATAGGAGAGGATAGGATAGGATAAGTGAGGTTAAGTTAGGATCGAGTAAATTTGGATAGATTGTGCTTGTTAGGTTAGGTCAGGTTAGGATAAGTTAATCATAAGGTGAAATATGTTGGGGTGACTAATCTTCAGGTTATCCGCCGACTGTATTAAATTTATACAAACATTAATCGTATCTGGGATTCTCAGATATTCGTCTGTTTAAATTTTCTCAAAAGTGGAGATGTGAGAACGTATCTATCTATTTCACTTAAGCTAAGACAAAAATGACAGCTTTAATGGCGTCGATATTACACTAAGACTCTGCCTTACCTTAGATACGTCCTCTTATCAACACTCTACAGTTTAGTTAAGTACAAAGTGAACTTAAGAGCCTTGGGGGATCCGGTGTTTGTGTTTGTAATTACGCTGCTTTGGATCTTATTCAATGTGAATTATTATAACCTCACTCATTTACATAGACAATATTTCCTCTGAAGGCGAGATAGATAGGCGGGATAGATGGTACCTGTAAGGACGGGAGATAGACGAGGCAGTTGGTAACACAGAGAGGGAGATAGATGGTACCTCTGAGGGCGGGAGAAATAGACGAGGCAGTTGGTAACACAGAGGGCAAGATAAACAAATGGAAAAGCTGGCCTCTAAGAGATATTGAGGTATAATGTAATACTCTGTTTACAAAGAGAAACTACTGTACAAGACTGTATGTGTGACAATGACCATCTCCCAGACCAAACTGACTCTCTCTCTGAACGCAAGTGCGTCTGGGAGAACATCTTTTAGTTACTATGGTAAGCATCTCCGTCGTACAGATGTTGCGTGCCTCTCCCTCCTCACAGACGCTTATCTGGAGAGTTGTATCACCCTGCAGCAGGATTCCTCACTTCTTCAGATAACATCACCTCGTCGTCACTCTGGAGAGGCTTCAGAAGTTACTAATTCCAGCAGTTGGCTCCTTGTCTGGTCTGACGAAGCCTCGCTGGACAAAAGAAGGTTCTCGACCTCATATGCTGGGTGTTATCGTTTTTGGTGACGTGACCTGTCTGACCACGTATTATGTACACGGCATCTTATATGGACGACGTCTTCGTGTTGGAGAAATCCTCCTCGCTTATCCTGTCTCAGAAAGGTTGGTTCGAGAAGATCCTGGTGTGTTTTGTCGGAGACACACTGACAGGGAACACCTTAGCCGATGTTACTATACTATCAGAATAAACGTTTCCTGCTGTTGTGGATACCATTGCGCTGAAGACCTCTCCTCGTTACTCTGCCGAAGATAAACTCGGTTCTTGCCACAGATTTCACCGTCCCAGGAACTTGGTGTCCATAGCCCGGCGGAGCTTCTCCATGTTCTCCAGCAGGAGGGTGTTGGTGGGGTCGTGTGTGAGAGCAGTACTATAGTGGTCCAGCGCCAGGCTGTAGCGGCCCTGAGGAGATAAGAGGAGACGGTCAACATGGACATTATTATTATTATTATTATTATTATTATTATTATTATTATTATTATTATTATTATTATTATTATTATTATTATTATTATATGTAATTATTATTATTATTATTATATGTAATTATTATTATTATTATAACTAGCAGAATCGCCGCCCGGAGGGCGGCGATTCTGCTAGGTAACAATAGGACGCCACCCTCCAGGAGGCTCCACATTGTCTCACTGTTCAGCCCCCAAAACTTCTTCCATCAATAGTTCATTAACGGTGTATGTAAGTTCCACCAGGTTTTTCACTACAACGGTACAGCAAAGTATATTTTTTTAGCATTAAACTGTTATTATCTTATTGTCTAATCATTACTACATATAACACCACCCATCGTCACTACATATAACATCATCCATCATCACTACATATAACACCATCCATCATCACTGCATATAACATCATCCATCATCACTACATATAACACTATCCATCATCATCACTACATATAACACCATCCATCATCACTACAGATCGGTAAAGTAGTTTCCGAGATTCTCGTGCGGATACACACAAAACATACACGCCACACACAAACAAACAGACATACTTCTTTGTTTTATATAGAGAGATCATCACTACATATAACATCATCATCATCACTACATATAACACCACCCATCATCACTACATATAACATCATCCATCATCACTACATATACTGTAACACCATCCATCATCACTACATATAACACCATCCATCATCACTACATATAACAACATCCATCATCACTACATATAACATCATCCATCATCACTACATATACTGTAACACCATCCATCATCACTACATATAACACCATCCATCATCACTACATATAACAACATCCATCATCACTACATATAACATCATCCATCATCACTACATATAACACCATCCATTATCATCACTACACATAACACCATCCATCATCACTACAGATCAGTAAAGTAGTTTCCGAGATTCTCGTGCGGACACACAAAAAAACATACACGCCACACACAAACACACAGACATACTTCTTTGTTTTATATATATATATATATAGATCAGTAGTAGTAGTAGCAGTAGTAGCAGTAGTAGAAGTAGTAGTATCACCCATGGAGTCAAGCATCGCTGGAACTACCTGATGTGCACTATCCCTGATATCGAACCCCTCCTCCACCCTCTGGAAGAAGCTATCAGTGTCAATTTAATTTCCAAATTAGTGAATCATCTTCACTTAACCCCAGCAGAAAGAGCGGAGGAATGGGATTGAACAATCCAGAGGAGATTGCTGCCACCGAACATCAAAACTCAGTTAAGCTCACGGCAACCCCCACGGACCACATAATAGCTCAAAACGAAACAGAGGAGGTGGATACCAATGAAGTAAACAAGATTCGAAGGTCCATTATGACAGAACGACAGCATGGCCAAAGTGATAAGTTGCAGCAACTGTTGCTGCAAGTACCAGAAAATTTGAAAAAAAAAAGTAGCTGTAGATCAGGAGGTGGGCGCCTCGAACTGGTTAACTACGTTACCGATAAGGGCAAATGGTTTCAGTCTCAATAAACAAGAATTTTCAGATGCCAATGCTCTAAGGCACGGTAGGCCAGTTGAAGGTTTGCCCTCCCAATCCGTGTGTGGCTCTTGCTATGATGTCGATCACGCCATGGTGTGCAAGAAAGGGGGATTCATATGCATGAGGCATGACGAAGTAAGGGATTTCACAGCAAATATGTTGAGGGAAATCTGGCGTGATGTCAGGGTAGAAACAACCCTCCTTCCATTGGACGGTGAGATTTTCCAACATAAGACTTCAAACACATCTAACGAAGCCCGTGTTGACGTCAGTGCTCGAGGATTCTGGACACGGGGACAGCGAGCCTTCTTTGACATCAGGATTTTTGTTCCCATGGCCGCATGTCACTGTAACTTAGCTCTCGATGCTGCACACAGGAGGAACGAGAACAACATGATAAGGGCATATGGGGAGAGAATTCAGAACGTTGATCAAGGCAGCTTCACTCCTCTAGTGTTCACAACCTCTGGTGGGATGGGACCAAGTGCAAGATGCTTCTACGCCAGACTCGCAGAGGTGAAATTCGAACAGAAGCAGCAGCTCAGATGTTATGTTACAGCCTGGATGAGATGTCGACTGTCCTTCTCTCTCCTTAGGTCGGCTTTGCTCTACCTCAGGGGAACGAGAGCATCGGCCCCAAAGCCGACAACAGTTGCAGATATTGACTATGAGGCAACAGTCACTGAATGCCGCATAGATCTGCCGCTCAATTAACTCAACACAGCTAAGATAGTTACTTATGTATTAGGATATTTAATTTTAAGGTAATAAAATGGCGGCGAAGGTATGGCTATAGGGGAGGCTAGAGGCCATTAAATAAAAAGTAGTAGTAGTATCAGTTGTACCTGTGTGTGGTAGATGGCCCCAAGGTTCAGGTGGGCCCGGGAGAGACCTGGTTCCATCCTAACAGCCAGCTGGTAACTCTGTGAGATATAGAGAGACGTGAGCCAGCTGGTAATGGTGAGAGATATATGAAGAGATAGTAGATGAAGGTCAGCGATAGATTGAAAGATATTTGATGAATGTGAGAGATAGATGGAGAGATAGTAGATGATGGTGAGAGAATATGTAGAGAGAATTGATGAATGTAAGGGAAAGATGGAAAGATAGAAGATGAAGGTGAGAGATAGATAGATAGATAGTTGATGAAAGTGAGAGACTGATGGAGAGATAGTAGATGGAGGTGATAGATCGATGGAGAGATAGTTGATGAGGTTGATAGAAGTAGAGATAGTAGATGAAGGTGAGAGATCGATGGAGAGATAGTAGATGAAGGTGAAAGATAGAAGAGGAGATAGTTGATGAAGGTGTGATTATGGGGGTGAGGTAAATAGAGACTGAGACGGAAGAAACAGATAGACAAAGAGACAGATGGTGAGATAGAGAAATGAAACAGCAAGGAAGTATGAAGACGAGAGAGATAGAGACAATACCATACAGTCACTGTGATCTCTATAGGTGAGAGATACCGTGTGATGTCTCTTCAGTAAGACAGAAAGAGAAAGAGACAGAAAATATAGCATACGCTATATCTCCTAGTAAGAGACATGGACAAGATAAATATGAGACACTACGTAATAACCTGACTGTTGTGGACTTGACCTCACCTTCCTCTCCTGTATATATATTTGCCTTGTTATGTATTTCTCCTTAGTCTGTACTCACCCCTGAAGATGCGAATTATACGAAAGCGCTTGTGAACTTCGTGTTTTCTTTTTCCTTGTGGTTATCAGCATATATATATATATATATATATATATATATATATATATATATATATATATATATATATATATATATATATATATATATATATATATATATATATATATATATATATATATATATATATATCCTTCAGGTCAGAGATATGATATCTTATCACAGTAAATATGATTATCATGTAAATTTAACAATTTTATTTTAATTTTTGTCGACAGAAACTAATTTGTATTAAAACTTTTACTTATTTTGCGAGATTATTAATTAAGTAAATAGTTGAGTAAAAATACTGTATGTCCCCACCACCTCCTTCCCACCACCCCTCCCCACCACTCCTCACCGTCCTCCCCACCACTCCTCCCCGTCTTCCCCACTGCTCCTCCCCACCATCCTCTCCACCTCTTCTCACTCTCATCTCCACCATCTTCCCCACCATCCTCCCCACCATCCTCCCTACAACCCTTCCCCACCATCCTCTACACCACTTCTCACCTCTCCTCCCCACCATCCTCCTACTCATCCCCACTTCTCCTCCTTTCCATCATCTTCACACTCCTCTGCTACTCCCCACCACTCCTTCCCTCCTGCCCACCACTACTTCCCACCTCCTCTCCACCACTATCTCCACACCACTCTCCCCAGCACTCCTCCCCATCACTCCCCACACTCTCCACCCTACTCCTCCTAGCCTCCCCCATCCTCACTCCCCCCCACTGCCTCCCCTAGCCTTCTTCCCATCCTCCCCACCACTCCTCCTCCACTCCTCCCCACCTCCTCCCCACCACTCTCTCCACTCCTACAACTCCCCCACCACTGTTCCCCCACCACCCTCCCCTCCCCCTCCTCCCCACCCACTCCTCCCGACCATCCTTCCTGCTCCCCACTGCTCCTCCCCACCACTCCTCACTCCTCCACCCCTCCCCTCCTTCCCACCACTCCCCCCACCCTCCCCACCACTCCTCCCCCTCCTCCCCACCATCCTCCCCCACCACTCGCCACCACTCCCCACCACTCTTCCCCACAACTCACCACCACTCCTCCCCACCAATCCCCACCACTCCTCCCACCATCCATCCTACCACTCCCCACCACTCCTCCCCATCACCAATCCTCATTCACCCAACCATCCTCCCTGCCATCCTTCCCCACCACCACTCCTCCCCACCCCCCCACCAATACTCCCCCACCACTCCTCCCCACCCTCCTCCCCCACTCTTCCCCACCACTCCCCACCACTCCTCCTCATCACCAGTCCTCACCATTCACCCCAACCATCCTCCTGCCATCCTTCCCCCACCACCACACCTCCACACCACTCCCCACCACTCCTCCCCACCCTCCTCCCACCACTCCTCCCCCCCACTCCTCCCCAGCCCTACCCACCCTCCTCCCACCACTCCTCCCCACCACTCCTCCCCCCTCCTCCCCATCCTCCCCACCACTCGCCACCCCACCACTCTTCCCCACAACTCACCACCACTCCTCCCCACCAATCCCCACCACTCCTCCCCACCATCCATCCTACCACTCCCCCCTCCCCATCACCATTCCTCACCATTCACCCAACCATCCTCCCTGCCATCCTTCCCCACCACCACTCCTCCCACCACCAATACTCCCCCACCACTCCTCCCCACACTCCCCCCCCTCTTCCCCACCACTCCCCACCACCTCCTCATCACCAGTCCTCACCATTCACCCAACCATCCTCCCTGCCATCCTTCCCCACCACCACTCCTCCACACCCACTCCCCACCCTCCTCCCCACCACTCCTCCCCACTCCTCCCCCACTCCTCCCCCCAGCCCTACCCACCACTCCTCCCCACCACTCCTCCCCCAGTCCTCCCACCATCCTCCCTCCTCCCCAGCCTCCCCACCACTCCTACCCCACACTCCTCCAAATCACTCCTCCCCACCACTCCTTCCCACCAGTCCTCCCCACCATCCTCCCTACCACCACTCCCCCCACTCCTCCCCACCAGTCGTCCCCACCATTCTCCCTACCCTCCCCTACCTCTCCCCACCACTCCTCCCCACCACTCCTCCCCACCACTCCTCCCCACCACTCCTCCCCACCCTCCTCCCGTCCTCCCCACCATCCTCCCCAGCACTCCCCACCCTCCTCACCACCCCCCCACTCCTCCCCACTCCTCACCATCCTCCCCCATCCTCCTCCCATCCTCCCCACCCTCCCCACCATTCCTCCCGCCCACTCCCCACCAATCCTCCCCCCACTCCCCCACCACTCCTCCCCCCCCCTCCCCACCCACTCCTCCCCACCACTCCTCCCTACCAGTCCTCCCCACCATCCTCCCTAGCACTCCCCACCACTCCTCCCCACAACTCCTCCCGACCACTCCCCACCACCACTCCCCGCCTCCAGCAGTATTGTTGTACCAATACCGAAACCAGGACAGCCTGATGCTTTTCGTCCCATATCACTAACCAGCTGCCTGTGTAAAACCTTTGAGAGGATGGTTCTTGGTAGACTCTTATATAGAATCAGAGAACACATGTCTCCTAACATAAAAGGCTTCACCCATGGTAAAGGTGTACATAATTGCATCACCACATTCCTAACTGTGCATGGTGATGAAAGGCACAGATACACCACATTTCTTGACCTAAAAGCTGCATTTGATATTGCCAATAGGCAACTGATATTGTACGAACTAGCCAAAATGGATATAGGAGGTAGGCTGTTACACTGGATAAGTGGTTACCTAACCAACAGAAGGGCTGCTGCATTGTTTCAGGGTTACAAAAGTGAAGTTAAAGATATGCAACTTGGTACCCCTCAAGGTGGAGTACTTAGCCCCACTTTGTTCAATGTTCTTATGAATGCATTATTAAATTTAATACCAGACAACCCCAGCAATATCTCAATCAGCTATGCTGATGATATTCTTATACATACTAAAACTCATCGTGAAATGCAAACCACCCTGAACCATGTATACGCAGCCTGTGAGAACCTCGGTCTTATTATATCACTGAGAAAACTAAGGTGTTCAACAAACAAGCTGGTAACCGCAAACGCGGCCCCGCCAAGTTCAAGATAGGTAACAACACTATTGACTATGTTTCTTCTTTTAAATATCTTGGTGTTTCCGTCCCTTGTACCCTACCTGCCATACAACAGCTAACCCGCCAATGTGCTGACAGACTGAGAGCTCTTAGAAGTGTAGCGGGGTACAGCCCGCACTATGGTGCTAATATTAGAATTGTTAAAACAATGTACCTAGGCTATAAAAGATCTCTGATAGATTACCACGCACCAGCCCTGGTCATTCGTGACGGGAAAGGCGTTGACAAGCTCGGGAAAATGCAAAATAAAGCCCTCAGAATTATCCTAGGATGTCCCATGAGCACTAAAGTACTTAATATGAGGAAAGAACTAGGTATACCCAGTGTTAAAGACAGAATAATTGAAGTCAACCTCATGATAGCCCTGAGGCTTCTGCGTGGTGATCCTGATAACATTGTTTCCTTAAAATTGCTAGAATGTATGAACCATGGGACTACTGAGTCTAAATGGATCCAAACTACAGCTGCACATATGAAGATGTTTGGACTAGATCACCTGTACAAAGTTGAGACACAACAGCGCTTCCTGCCACCCTGGCGGACAGTTCCCTTCGATATCACAATACCGGCGAATCCGCCTAAAAAATTAATTATACAAAGCATTTATCTCCAACACACTGCCAAATTGAGAGCTCTTGAACACATACACACTCTACAGACTGATGATAATATCACACAGACCATCTACACTGATGGATCTCTAAACACCGCCTATGGGAGGGCTGGAAGTGCTATTGTTGCGACTCAACCTGACGGTAATAGAATTGAGAAAGGAGTTAGAATTAACAACTGGGCATCCACTCTACAAACTGAATTAGTTGCCATACTCACAACTATTAAATTCATTGAAACCACTGTTACCGACAGTCTCATCATCACTGACTCTCTATCCTCACTTCTTGCCCTTGGTACCCTCGACTCAGGTTGTCACGCTCTTGTCTCTGAAGCCAGACACAAATATGCGAGCCGTGTTGACCGGGGTGTCAAGGTCAAACTGTTGTGGATCCCCTCTCACATAGGCCTCATAAAAAATGACAGAGTTGATGCCCTCGCCAAACTCGCGTCTAACAAAGACACCGTTGAATACAATTTGGGTCTGTCAAAAAGAACCCTTAAAACTGTAATTAGGAGAGAACTTATTGATGAGTTTGACGCAAGTAGACTAGTACAAACAGGCACTAGTCGATCCATAGGTTACCATGATGAGATGTATCAAGTGAAACATGTATATGGAGCAAGTAACAAGATCATTAGATTACAAGATGTTGTAACCGCTAGATTAAGGTTAGGATATAAGTACCTTTGGCAGTATGTTCCTCAAGCAGATGTAAACAAAACTAAATGTAAAGTGTGTGGCCATACATATGGCCACACACTTGAACACTACGTCCTCGACTGTGTGAAGATAGAACCTTTTAGGGACAGGTCCAAGCACACTGTGTGTGAAATGGCACAACACTTCATCTCTAATGGCAAGATAGCCGACATATTAAGATTGTATCCACTTTTTTGCACTTAGTAACTATATCAATTCTCATGTACAGAACCAAATTCACAATGTGCTTGAATACTTCTCACGTAAATGTGAATAACAAAGTGTGAGGCCAGACATACTGCCTCACACGCCTGTACTCACGCAGTTGTGAATAAGTTACCCTTTATGTATAGAACTAAACAAATAATGTAATTGAAATACTGTGTAACATTCAGTGCCATAATATCCTGACAACGGGGGTTAATTATTATGACCCTTTGTAAACTCTACTCTGTAATCCTTTTGTGTTACCGCTCACAGGATAAGTGTGGGGTGCACAATAAAGTAGCCGCTGTAAGCGGCAAAATCAAAAATCAAAATCCTCCCCACCACTCTCCACCACCACTCCTCCCCACCACTTCCCACCATTCCTCTCCACCAACCTCCCCACCACTCCCTACCACTCCTCCCCACCATCCTCCCTACCACTCCCCACCATTCCCCACCACTCCTCCCCACCACTTCCCACCACTCCTCACCACTCCCCCACTCCTCCCACCACTCCCACCACCCTCCCGACCACTCCCCCCACTCCTCCCCCACCAGTCCTCCCCACCATCATCCATCCCTACCACTCCCTACCACTCCTCCCCCAGACTTCCCCACCATTCTCCCTACCACTCCCCACCTCTCCCACCCTCCTCCCACCTCCTCCCCACCAGTCTTCCCCACCATCCTCCCTACCACTCCCTACCCTCCTCCCCACCATCCTCCCCACCACCCCTCCCCACCACTCCTCCCCACCAGTCTTCCCCACCATCCTTCCTCCTTGCTCCCCGCCATTCCTCCCCACAACTCCTCCCTCCACTCCCCACCACTCCTCACTATCCTCCCCACCCTCCCCACCCTCCTCCTCCCCATCCTCCCTACCCCCACCATCCCCACCACCTCCCCACCACTTCCCACCACTCCTCCCTCCTCCTCCTCACCCACCCCACCACCCGACCACTCCCACCTCCTCCCTATCCTCCCATCCTCCACCCACTCCTCCCCAGCCTCCACAGCACTCCTTCTCACCATCCTCCCTCCTTCTCCCCACCACTAGCCACCACTCCACCCTCCTCCTCCATATCCTACCCACCATTCCCTCCCTCCTCCCCCCCCCACCTCCTCCCCACTTCCCACCACTCCTCCCGACCCTCCCAACCCATTCCTCCCCACCAGTTTTTCCCCACCATTCTCCCTACCCTCCCCCTCCCCACCACTCCTCCCCACCCTCCTCCCCTCCTCCTCCTCCCTCCTCCCCCCTCCCCCACCACCCCCCCATCCTCCTCCCCATCCTCCTCCTCCCCACTCCACCACCATCCCCCCCTCCCCCCTCTTCCCCCACCCTCCCCACCACTTCCCACCTCCCCGACCACTCCTCCTCACCCTCCCCACCACTCTTCCCGACCACTCCCCACTCCTCCCCCACCACTCATCCTCACCATCCTCCACCCTCCTCCCCAGCACTCCTGGCCTCCTTCTCACCATCCTCCCCAACTTCTCCCCACCACCCACTCCTCCACCCTCCTCCTCCATATCCTACCCACCATTCCCCCCTCCCCCTCTCCCTCCTCCCACTTCCCACCACTCCTCCCACCTCCCCACCATTCCTCCCCACCAGTTTTCCTCCCCTACCACTCCCTACCTCTCCCCTCCTCCCCACTCCTCCCCCCCCTCCTCCTCCCACCACCTCCTCCCCATTCCCCACCCTCCTCCTCCCCATCCTCCCTACCACTCCCCACCACTCTTCCCCACTCCTCCCCATCCTCCCCACTCCCCACCATTCCCCACCACTCCTCCCACCACCTCCTCCTCCCCGACCCTCCTCCTCACCCTCCCCCACCTCCTCACCACTCCCCACCACTCCTTCCCACCATCCTCACCATCCTCCCACCCTCCCCCCAGCCTCCATCCTCCATCCTCCTCCTTCTCCACCACTAGCCACCACTCCTCACCCTCCTCCTCCATATCCTGCCACCATTCCTCCTCCTCCACACCCTCCCCACCCTCCTCCCACCCTCCCACCTCCTCCCCCACTCCCAACCTCCCACCACTCCTCTTCACCATCCTCCCCACCTCCCCCACTCCTCCTTCCCATCCTCCCCAACTCTCCCTGGCTCCTCCCCCACTCCTCCCCTCCTCCCACTCACCACCCTCCTCACCACTCCTCCCCACCACTCCTCCCCCCTCCCACCACCACCTCCTCCCACTCCTCCCCCACACCTCCTCCCCCACCCCCCACCCCCCTCCTCCCCCCACCTCCTCCCCACCACACCCCCCCCCTCCCCCCCACCCTCCCCACCACAACCCCCACCACCCCCAACCACCCCCACCCCACCTCCCACCACTCCTCCCCACCCTCCCACCTCCTCACCACCCCCCCACCAATCCTCCCCCCTCCCCCCTCCCCACCACTCCCCACCACTCCCCACCACTCCTCACCACTCCTCCCCACCACTCCCCACCACTCCTCACCACCCACCGTAACAGCATCATCCATCAGACTGAGAGTGTGGAGCAGGTCTGCGTGGTGAGCGTGTAGTAACGCACACAGTCCACGCGGTTCACTACACGCCTTGGCAGCCGAAGCAGCCGCTTCCGTCGCCTCCTGCGAGCGGTTAGTAGTGGTGTACAGGAGGGAGAGGTGATAGAGGGCTTCCCTGTGCCTGGGGGAATCCTGCAAGACTTTCTGTAGGATCTCCTCGGTCGCCAGGTACTTCTTCTGCTGTAGTTTGACCTGCGCTGTGTTGGGTGAGGGGAGAGTCCTATGACACTGTAATGTTGCTCTCTCTCTCTCTCTCTCTCTCTCTCTTCTTCATTCAACACTTCCTAACCTCACTCCTGTATCAACTTCTATCTAATAGTCAGTAAATATTTGTTATACATGTGAGCTACATACATTATTTTTATATAATTACATCACCTACAGTTGCTGATCTGACATTCTGCCTCATTTACACACAATTACAGGGCCTCAATTGCCCTCCCCCCTCAGGCCCCGATGTGAGTTGGTTACCTGTGCCTGGGTGAGCTCATCCCCGACAAAAAATCGACACTCATTTTCTCTGTGTACTTCCTCCCCTCTGTGTACTTGGTGTGTACATTCTCTTTGTGGTTCCCCAAATTTTAGTACATAATGATTCGGGGTTAAAAGGTTGTTCCCCCTAAAAATGAAGCAGCATCGACCCCAAATGAGATGAAACAGTCAGGGTAAGTCACTTTAGAGACTCATTCCCGTGACTCAGTTTCACGGGGAGTGAACTGTTGTGCCCGACTGTACATGTATTTAAGGTTCATGGGTGAAGGGGATTGGAATTATAGCGTGATATTTTCTTCATATTTATGTTATTTGTAACAAGAGTGGCTTGGTGGTGCCAACATAATAGGCAATGGAAGTCAGAGTTGTTAGATATAAACCAAATATATGGATGCCAGATGTTGCCAAGGGATCAGATAATTTTATCCTCAACTGTACATTCTCCGTGTATGTGTCCTGACACTGACCATACCCATGGTCTTTACCCAACTAACTTTCCCAACTCTTATTGTACAGTACAGAACAGTACAGTATGTAGTGTACACTCTTAGTGTACTTCCCCAACTTTTATTGTACAGTATGTACTGTACACCATATGTGTACTTCCTCAACTCTATTGTCAAATTATTCTCTGGGTTACTTCCTTCATGTACTACGTACTACTACGGTATCCTATCAACTCTCTCACTGTGCAGTACTTCCCTAGACACTGACCATATGAACCCTGGCAGGTATGTGGCCAGGGTGGCCCAGGGTGACGCGAGCCAGCAGGGTCTGGGCTTGGTCCAACTGGCCTGTCACGATACAGAGGCGGGCCAGGGCCGTGGCTGTGTCCGGGTCCCAGCTACACTCCAGTGCCCTGTGAGAAAGAGAGATGAATATACCGTTATATTAACTCCTCTTGACAAACAGAATCAGTCACAACATTGATGCATTACTATAAGCGCCTTAGGATAATCTGTATTGGAAAATTTCAACACTAGCGTTGAAATATTAAGAGTTAAGATTTATACTTTAGCTTACAGTACAGATAAAAATATTATGTAGCAACAGAAACTATGAACCTAATAGTGAAGATAAAATACAAAAATAGGCAAGTACATTATATAGCAACAAGTACATTATATACCAATAAGAACTTTATATACCAACAAGTATATTGTATACCAACAAATACATTATATACCAACAAGTACAATATATACCAACAAGTACATTATATACCAACAAGTACATTATATACCAACAAGTATATTATATACCAACAAGTACATTATATACCAATAAGAACTTTATATACCAATAAGAACTTTATATACCAACAAGTATATTATATACCAACAAGTACATTATATACCAACAAGTATATTATATACCAACAAGTACATTATATACCAACAAGTACATTATATACCAACAAGTACATTATATACCAATAAGAACTTTATATACCAATAAGAACTTTATATACCAACAAGTATATTGTATACCAACAAGTATATTATATACCAACAAGTACATTATATACCAATAAGAACTTTATATACCAATAAGAACTTTATATACCAACAAGTATATTGTATACCAACAAGTACATTATATACCAACAAGTATATTATATACCAACAAGTACATTATATACCAATAAGAACTTTATATACCAATAAGAACATTATATACCAACAAGTATAGTACCAACAAGTACATTATATACCAACAAGTATATTATATACCAACAAGTACATTATATACCAATAAGTACATTATATACCAACAAGTATTATATACCAACAAGTACATTATATACAAGTATATTATATACCAACAAGTACATTATATACCAACAAGTATATTATATACCAACAAGTATATTATATACCAACAAGTACATTATATACCAATAAGAACTTTATATACCAACAAGTACATTATATACCAACAAGTATATTATATACCAACAAGTACATTATATACCAATAAGAACTTTATATACCAACAAGTACATTATATACCAACAAGTATATTATATACCAACAAGTATATTATATACCAACAAGTACATTATATACCAATAAGAACTTTTTATGCCAACAAGTACATTATATACCAACAAGTATATTATATACCAACAAGTACATTATATACCAATAAGAACTTTATATACCAACAAGTACATTATATACCAACAAGTATATTATATACCAACAAGTATATTATATACCAACAAGTACATTATATTCCAACAAGTACATTATATACCAACAAGTATATTATATACCAACAAGTACATTATATACCAACAAGTACATTATATACCAACAAGTACATTATATACCAACAAGTATATTATATACCAACAAGTACATTATATACCAATAAGAACTTTATATACCAACAAGTACATTATATACCAACAAGTATATTATATACCAACAAGTATATTATATACCAACAAGTACATTATATACCAATAAGAACTTTATATACCAACAAGTACATTATATACCAACAAGTATATTATATAGTACCAACAAGTACATTATATACCAACAAGTATATTATATACCAACAAGTATATTATATACCAACAAGTACATTATATACCAACAAGTACATTATATACCAACAAGTATATTATATACCAACAAGTACATTATATACCAATAAGAACTTTCTATACCAACAAGTACATTATATACCAACAAGTATATTATATACCAACAAGTATATTATATACCAACAAGTACATTATATACCAATAAGAACTTTCTATACCAACAAGTACATTATATACCAACAAGTATATTATATACCAACAAGTATATTATATACCAACAAGTACATTATATACCAATAAGAACTTTATATACCAACAAGTACATTATATACCAACAAGTATATTATATACCAGTGAGAAACAGTAAACTTGTGACCCTCAGTTGCCGTTTTCTTTGATCAACTCACGATCTGATTATGATAAAATTCTTGTAACGACTTGATAACTTTTTTTTTGAGGCCACAGCTATGAGAGTCTTTATGCTGAATAGTAAAGTAAACGATGGCTTTACTTGCAGTGGCTAGTTGAGTGTATGACTGACGTAATTTAGACAAATGTTAACTTAAGTGATCATCAACCAAATTTAGTTGGGGACATTGAGAGTTTGTATTTCTAAAGGGTTTGTATACAGTTCAAGATGAAGTCTGAGATAATCTGAGCAGCTGTTATAAATCCTGCTGACTCAGATGGATATGTTCCTTTTGTGCTGGACAGGTATGAGGGACAGGAACTTGGTGCTTATTCCTCAAGGTTTTCTCTAAATCGACGTACAAATGTGTTCCCTGACTGCTCGTCGTGTATCTCTGAAATGGTTAATTTTTTCTCATGTCCTGAAGTGTAATGTATATTGTTATGTCTGGAGTTCCCGTATACTAAAAAAATGAGAATTTGGTCAATAAACTCAAATATAAGAAATGTATCACCGACATATCGTTTGTACATAAAAGGGTAACTCCTGGAGGGTAAACACTGAGTCACTTTGCTTCGTGGAAACAGAGAAAGGCTTTAGCTACACCATCATTTTGCCTGCATATTTCATCATTAAATAATCCTTAGCAGCCAGAGATAGTAATATGTCTGTCATATATTGTAATATATAGAATGTAAAGAACTGTCAGTATAAGAACATAAGAATGTAGGAATCTGCAGCGGGCCTATTGGCCCATACTGGACTGTTCCGTTTACACCCAACCCCTGTCGCTCATATATCCATCCAACCTATGTTTGAAGGTATCCAGCGTGTTCGAGTTAATGATGAACTTCGGTAACTTGTTCCACTCATCCAATACCCTATTTTCAAACCAATGTTTACCTATCTTGCTCCTTAGCACGAGTTCGCTCCTGGTTGGATAGTTTGAGTACCTTTGTTATATCACTTTTGTTTAACCCTGACTTCCATTTATATATCTAGATCATATCACCCCTCACTCAGAGCGCGTTTATCTGTTTCTATACTTAAGGTTTCTAATGCCTGGGATTAGTCTTGTCATCCTCCTCTGTATGCTTTCTAGGAATTCAATATTCATTCTGTAGTATGGTGACCAAAACTGAACTGCAAAATCCAAGTGAGGTTTCACAAGTCCAATATATAGTTTCATGATGACCTCGCTTGTCTTGTAACTAACACTCCTTTGTATGAATCCAAGTACTTTGTTACCCTTGTTTCGAGCAAATACGCATTGTTTTCTTGACTTAAAATTCCTACTTATCATTTCCCTAAATCTTTCTCACAGTCGTATTTCTCTATATCAACGTTGCTCATCTGATATCTGCTTTCTCTGTTTACATCTCGTAGGCTAAGTACTTTACATTTGTCCACATTAAATTTCATCTTCCATTTTTCAGACCATGCGAATTTTTTTTTTATATCCTTGTAAGTTTCCGGAGTCCTCGTCAGATTTAATTACACGCCCTATTTCAGTGTCGTCAGCAAATTTACTTAAGTTGATGTGTATGCTTAAATCTATGTAGTTTATGTATATGCTGAATAGTAATGGTCCAAGTATTGAATCTTGGGATACTCCATTAGTAACGTTACCCGAATCGAATTTGGTGCCAACAATACTGAATCCCTGTTATCTCTCTTCTAACCACGCCCGAATCTAATTTAGAACATCTCCAATTACTTGGGCCTCCAGTTTACGTATTAGTCTTTCATGGGGGACCCTGTCGATGGCTTTGCTAAAGTCGAGGTAAACCACAGCATACTCCGTCATCCACTGATTCGAAAACTGTTGAAAAGAATGATAATTAATTTGCCAGACATGAATGCCCACTTGTGAAGCCATGCTGGGAATCATTGATCACTTTGTGTGTTTCGAGGTGATTTCGAATTGAGTTTGAAATTATTGCTTCCAGTAATTTGTCTACAATTGATGTTAAACTAATTGGACGGTAGTTAGAGGATAGTGATCTATCCCCCTTCTTGAAAATCTGTATCACATTCGCATCCTCCTGGATTCTGGTACTACACCCGTTTTTAATGACATGTTAAACGGGTTTGCTAGGGGCATACTTAGTTCTTCCTTTCGTTCCTTTGAGACTCTGACGAATATCTCGTCGGGACCTGACAACTTAATAGGTTTTAGTTTATCTATTCATTACTAGTCGCTACTAACTCGCTTAATCTATTTTCTTCACTATCTGTATATAGTCGGTGCCTCGGGTAACATGTTTAAATTTTCGGTTGTGAGATCTGGTGAAAAATATCTCTTCAGAGTATTGCTCATTTCTCTGTCGTTAACAGTTAGTTCGCCGATATCTGTGCGTATTGGTCTAATCTTGTCTCGTGTTTTATTCTGATTCATTTGAAAGAATCCCTGAGAGCTTGACTTTGCCTCCCTTGCTACCTTCAGTTCATTATTCCTTTTTGCATTTATTATCTCTGTCGTAACACTACTGGCCAATATTTTATAATAATCTTGGAGGTAAACTTCACCACGATTTATTCTCCTACCTACTGTATAGCTTTCCTTTGTCCAGTAATATTCTTTAACTACGTATTTTCCTTTTTGGGGTCATTGTTGTTTAATTTGAGTTTTCTGTATGGTATATTCTGCCTTTGTGCTTTAAGTAACTCATTATTCAAATTTGTATGGAACTCGTTAACCTCATGTCTCGTGGTCAGGTCACCCTCAGCAGTCATATTTTGTGAGATTATCATTGTTAGGTCACCAGGTAAAGTGAGGTTGCCTTCTGTGGGTACATTGTGTGAAGTCATGTTATTTACCACTTCCCATGAGGTCATGTAATTCACCCCCAAGCGTAATACCCCTTCTCTCAGTTGCCTTTTCAACATATCA